ATTTCAGTAATTTTGTGCTTTAAGATATGTGTTTTTAGAAAGTAGACGACGATATGCGAAATTGTTCTTGGTCACGAATTTTTTCCAATGTTTTTTACAAATCATACTTATAAAAATGTAACTAAGATTTCTTAGACAGTGCGTTAAAATATACAGTTAAGGTACAATAAAAGCTTAAATACTAGAAATTAAAACTTTTCTTTTAATAAAATTGGGTCCCCGCGGCAAGAGGCTGTCACTGCCGTCAGCTAACTAGAATGCGGCTATGTGACAAAATATTTTTTGAGATATCATTAAAAACCATTACCCAGTTTTAGAATATTGACATGGTTTCATGATATTTCAGCTATGCATCGTTAGGGTAAGTTCCGATAAGTCGAACATGTTATCTAATTTTAACTGTTTTTAACCGACTTCAAAAAAGGAGGAGGTTCTCAATTCGACTGTATGTTCTGTTTTTTTTTTTCTTTTTTTTTGTATGTATGTTACGCGATAACTCCGGTATTTGTGAACCGATTTTCAAGATTATTTTTTTGTTGGAAAGGGGATACTTCCATAGTGGTCCCATTTCATTTTGAAGAAAGTCATCGACCTCGAAGGGTGGCTTTTCACGCATGAAGATTCATTTTTATAAATAGCGCCTAACTTTATTTAAGAGCAATTACTTTAATGGTTGATTTTGCTATTTCTCCAATTCAAGGCGTTTTTCTCTCAATATACTTTGAGTAGTGAGAACCGATTTTTATTATCTCCAGTGTCAAGTCCTGTATAGTGGCGAACTAGGGGATATTTCAATAAAACTTAGCAAATAGATGTAATTCCACGTACTTTTGAGGGCATTTTTTTGGTGCTCTGTACTGAGATTATTAAAAGAGAATTTTGTGCTCTATTTTTTGCTATTGAAAATGGTTATTTGACCATTTGTCACTTAGCTACGTTTTAGCAAGTGGACGGCAGATCAGCGTTCCCCTTTGTATAGCTAAATTGTAATAATGTTTTTTTTTATTGAATATAATTATGCTTTATCACCATGTTCTATCACCAAAATAAATAAATACTATTAATTTTTTATGAACTGCACCATAGTCTCATTTAAAGTGCATCCGAGTTAGAATGGTATTGTACGAATATTACTTTACACTAAATAGACGATTGTATTATTTTTTAAATGTCTACTCAATACTCAATACTCAATATATTTATTGCATCCATATGGTAAACATGTCTTAAAGTTAAAATAATGCTACACATATGAGCCCTTTATTAGGGATAACAATAACAGCAGAGGTAGGCCGAGGTTTCAATTATTAATTAAAATTGTTATTTATCAAATAATAATATTAAAAAAAAAAGTCATATAATAATAAAGAAATACGTCATATTATGAGTAGAATTATGTCACTTGAAAGTTTGAATTTAATTAGATTACAGTAGCATAACTTTATAGTATACATATAATTAACATTTATTTATTATTCAAATTTATTATAATATTATTATTTTTATTTGTCATCAAAGTATTCATTTAAATTAAATAAATAAAATAAATAAATAACGCGCACACTCAACATAGCCCCGCACTAGGTAAACCCTGTGTCGCGGGTGCCATGGACACACATATAGACAACCACAAATTACACCCAAACTCACGAGAGAAATAATTGTAGGCCATACAAACATTTCTCCCGGCCCGGGAATCGAACCTGGGACCTCTGCGTGGCAGTCCGGCATGGTAACCGTTCGGCCACAGAGGCAGTTAAAAAAGTAAAAATTGTAATAGCATTTATTAATAAGATGTAATTTTAATTTATTTAGAAACAGTGAATACTTTTCCTCGTTTTTAATATTGGGCGGGAGCTCATTGAATATCCTCACCGACGTCGAGTGGGGACTTGAGCTGTGTATGTGTAGCCGAGATCGTGGCAGAAGCAATTTATTGCGTGGTCTAAAAGTGTGTCGTTGAGGCAGGTCATCAGTGTTAGTGTAAAAGTCAGGGTGTTGTTTAATAAATAATACACTTCCGGACACTTGAATCGAGCCACATTACATTCCCGGGCCTAAAAACCCATTACACAAAATATATGCAATATAACAAAAAAGTTTTTATGCATTTTTAATGCTGGCATATTTCATCGTCTTTCCCGTATGTATTCTTCCAAATTTGAATTTAAGATTTTAAAATAAAGAACAAAAGCCGAGCTTGGTCACTGATTTGAAAAAAATAATGGCTGTAGAAAGTTACTTTTGAAGCGATTTAATTTCGATTTTGTTTGAATTTTCGCTATTTTTGTTAACCAAAGTTTAGTTTAGTTTTTTTTTTCTTTAATTTGAATCGCTTTTGGCTATAAAATTATGGATACTTCACCTGAAGTAGCCGCGCAAGCTGTAGCACTTCTTCAATCTGGGCTAAGTCAGCGAGATGTGAGTTCACAACTTCTCATAAGTCGTTCCGCTGTCCAAAGAGTGTACCATCGATACCTGGAGACTGGCGGCTTCGTTCGGCGAACAGGAGGACCTCGTTACCGGGTGACAACGGCGAGACAAGATCAATACATTGTCACTACCAGCTTACGCAATCGACGCCTTACCTCTGTTCAAATACAAGAACAGCTCAGGGACTTTCACGGAGTGGCTGTAAGTGCTCGGACCGTTAGAAGGCGACTCAATGAACGTGGTTTAAAGCCCCATAAGCCAGCCAATGGACCCAAATTGACACGAGCACACCGAATAGCCCGTTTAGAGTTTGCGCGCGAACATCTAAATTGGACTCGACATCAATGGAGCCAGGTTCTCTTCACAGATGAGTCCAAGATAATGCTATACGGTAATGACGGAAGGAGTAAGGTGTACCGAAGAGAGAACGAGCGTTTCGCGCAATGTTGTATTGACGAAAGAGTGAGTTATGGTGGAGGATCATGGACTGTCTGGGGAGGAATCTCTATGGAAGGCAAAACTGAGCTAGAGGTAGTAACGGGACCACGACTGCCGCCCCTAGATGGCAATAGATACATTCGCCAATGTTTAGAGAACCACGTGATGCCATATGCTGGATTTATTGGCCAAGATTTCGTTTTAATGCATGATAATGCAAGGGCCCATACTGCGGGAATCGTCAGGCAGTACTTAAATGACATTGGTATCACTGTTATGAGATGGCCAGCGCGAAGTCCTGATATGAATCCTATAGAGCATCTATGGGATGAGCTGAAGAGGCGTGTTCGAGCTCATCATCCTGCCCCGCAAACCACGGAGGAGCTCAAAAATGTAATTTTGAAAGAATGGGAGGATATTCCTCAACATGTCATAACGACATTGATTAATTCTATGCCAAACCGTATGAGAGCTATCATTAATGCACGGGGAGGCAATACAAGTTACTAAATAAACATTTCTTTTCATTTAAAACATTTTTTTATTTAAAAATCGATTAGATTTTTTTCTTTGAAAAAAGCAAATATGGACTTGTTTCAACGTAACTCGACTTTTTTAATAAACTGTAGTTCAAATTTAGAACAGTGGCACTCTAAATGAATGTTGATTAAACCAGCTCCAAAACTGCATCAAAACATTTTCCTTCTACATAGATTTTTTACAAGTTACAGTACTCCAAACCAAAAAAATCAAGGTGGCTCGATTCAAGTGTCCGGAAGTGTATTATATGAACAAAATCGTATAAAATGCTCAACAGTGTTTTCAACAATAACATTTTTTAGTAGCAGTAGAGCACTTTACTTATTTCTGCCGCCAAGCAGTAATGTGAGCATTACTGCGTTCCGGTTTTGACTTATCACTTGACAGGCGCAGTGGTATTGGCAGTGTCCTTCAGATCTTTGCGATTTAAAACTCTGAGTGGCACTGAGGGTCGTATTCCAGGACTCTACTCAATGCTCAAGTCAGGCTTTGAGCAGACTTGAGTATCATTTTAAGCACTGGAAGTACGATCCTAATAAAGATAAATAAGATAAATTTATTTCAATATTACTTAATCTAATACAATTATAATGAAAACAATGTAATTGAAGATAAAATATTAAAATAAACAGTAATAAACAAAACAAAAAAAAAAATCTAAATTATATAAAATAATCATGGTAAAATTAAACATTTTAATCTTAGTGCCTAATAGTGCAATTGCGATGCCTAAACTAAGTACATGTGTACCTGTATTTTAGGCATAATAGTGCATTTTTCATAACAAAGCTTAAAAAAAATAAAGATTTTATAAATTTAGCAAATAAAAGATAAGTAGTTATAAGTCGTTACAATTTATAAAAGATAAGTAGTTAAACATTACATATTATATAAATATAAATTATGAAATAACTTCCAACAAGTCCTCGGTATCATTGTAGGTTTTACTCTTAAGCCAAAATTTGACGGTCTTTTTACATTCAGTTTTATTCATATGAAAATAATGCAAAGTAGAATTTCTTTTAAAATAAAGGAATGTGCCAAGGAAGCAGAAGAATCTATGTGAGTGTGCTGTGCGGAGTTGTGTACGAGATGAAAAGGGATGGCAAGGACTTGAGTATGATTTTCAGTGCTCACTGCAATACTCCTGACTTGAGTATTGAGTAGAGTTCTGGAATACGACCCTGAAACTTGTCAGGCGCACGACTTCTTCGTCCCGGCACTTGGTATCTATCATAAATAATTGTAACTTTTAATTAAAAAAAAACTTCTTTATATAATTAAACTATTTTAAGCTATTTTATATTTAAAAATTACATATATTTGCCAAGTGTTATTAAAATCGGTTACCGGAAAGTGCGCGATACCGGATTCATCCCCTAGTTTGCTACCCTTAGAGGTGGAATATTTTCTTCAAATTTAAATGGGATCAATACTGAGGTATCCTCTTTCCAACAAAAAAGAATCATCAAAATCGCGTAACGTACTCACAAAATACAATAAAAAAAAATACAGTACAATTGAGAACCTTCTCCTTTTTGAAGTCTGTTAAAAACGGATAAAACACACTAAAGGCTGACATTAATCAGTTTCAGACCATGGGACGAGACGTACCGCGGACAGGCGGGCTGGGACGCTGGCGGCCGGGGATATTATTTCGCATCAGGACGGCCTGACGCTGCGCCCGCAGCTGCCTGGTCAAGACCGGAATATGCCAGGTTTGTTATAATTTATAACGTTAAACAGTTAAATTTGAAAGTTGTCTGGCGATAACTGCTTCGAATTACGGAAACCAAAGTCATGGCTTGTCCCTTCAGAACTCAGAATTCCGGAGATTGAATACGCAGGGCGTCGAGTGCGCTTTGCGGGCAGTCAACCCACAAATATTTGTCAGTATCGTTAACCCTAAGGGCGGCTACACACTGCGACTTTTACACATGCGCGCGATTTTAAGCAAAAATGATGCAAACACGCTACAACATCGATACTTACAAACGCGCCATTGAATCGCTACACTTGGGGATATATAGGCGGTAGCGTCGATGCAATCGCGCGTTTGTACCGATGCAGTCGCGCGCAGTAATAATAATAAATAGAATTGGTAAAGTTTTAGTAGTAATTTACTACTAAATATCTGCCGTTTCAGATTTCGGTTTAATTGTTTAATTAAAAAATTATTCGTTTTTTTATTATATGTATGGAAATCTATAATGCAAGGTGACACGTTATGAAAATGAACATGTTATTTAGGTACCTAGGTACTAGGTAGGCAAACGCGATGCAGTCATGCCTTTTTATCTAAATACGCGCGCGATTTTAAGTAAAAATGCAAACACGTGACTGCATTGATACAAACGCGCGATTAAATCGCTACACTTGGGATTTATAGGCGATAGCGTCGATGCAATCGCGCGTTTGTATCGATGCAGTCGCGCGCTTTCATTGATGCAATCGCCTATAAATCGCAAGTGTAGCGATGCAATCGTGCGCTTCCCGAACGCGCGTTTGCATCGCTGCTGAAAATCGGCGTGTGTAAAGAGGTAAAATAAATTTCGTTCAAATACTCAGACCGGAGTCAACCGCAAGTGGCTGGCAGAACATCGGCTACGGCACAGGCTACAGCACTGGTAACAGAGATCCTGTGCAGTACCAAGGATCCTACGGTTACGGCGAAAGCGGATATCGGCAGGGTCTAGTGGCTAGCTATGGACAGGCTAGTGGATGGCAAAATGTCGGAGAACGGAGACCTTACAGGGATCAGAGGTGAGAGTTCTCTTTGTTACCAATTCGCTGTTGTAGCGAATTAGACCACGATCTTTCCAGGTAAATAATAATATGAATCTGTGGGTATTGTATGTGGTTTTTTTGGAAATAATAAACTAGATTTTCAGTCCTTTAGACATATATATTTGTCGTTGAAACAAAAACAGTCAAAACAAACAAAAACAAATAAATGCCTCTCAAATCAACCACAGATACCTCAACAAAGAGGCGAACCAAAAGCAGGTTACCTATGAGTAGTCCGAAATGACATTTTCCAGAAATAAAGTTTGGTCGAAATTTTATAACCCCGAAAGTAATTTTGAGAGGAAAATGTTTTTTCTTTTAAACCTAACTTAACGTAACCTAACCAAACCTAATCGTGTCTTTGCGATAAACATTCAACATATCCTGAAAGAACACCTGTCTCGTTATAATTCGGTTTTCGGTGTAATGAAAATTCGAACAAACGTTTCGGACAAAAAAAAATTCGAGTGTGTGATAGGCTTTTTTCCATCCTCTAAGGTGATAGGTTACCTCAAAAATAATATAGTTTACCTCTTTTATGTGTATAGACTTGGATACGAAATGAAGGGTCCAGAGAAAGAATAATCAAAACCACATGAGGAGAATTTTAGTAAAAAAGAATTTTTGACTAGAAACCATTGACTTACAATTATATGGACGTCGGGTCCGCGGTAAAAGTATCCGAACTTATAGGGCGTTAAAATCGTATACAGAGCGTCATTCACGCTCTAGTCTTCGTTTGTTCGACTGACAGCGAAGCAAGCAAAATTAGACAGTACTGCGATGACATTACAATTTAAATTCAACGTTTTAGCTTTTTCATATTCCTTGACATGTCACTACGTTTAAATAGGTTGACTTGGGACATTTTTTTCGTGGTTTTTGTATTAGACCCGTCGTCCATTTATTTGTAAGTCAATGATGGAAACACTTTTAAATATTGGAGAAAAAACACGCACAAATACTAGGTACCTACCTGAAATAAAGTCAATGCTGGCATAAATGTATGTAACGCTATATAATCCATTAATTTTTCACGACATTGAAACTTATTAGCCTTTTTCTGATTTAGGCCAAATACGCTCACCGTTTATCGAACTGGATGGCGGTATTAACTCAAAACGTGTTTTAAGTGACCGATCATTCTTTTCCTGGGGTCTTCAAATCATATCTTCAACTGATTTTCTTTTTATCTAAGCAATGCTTTTTAGGATGTATCAACTTTGTAAATTGATGATGTTATTCAGCTTACGAATGAGTGCTTTAGCTTTATTTTTATAATATAAAGCGACTTGATAACCAGTCCTTATAAATTGTTTACTCAAAATAAAACAATCATTATGTATACCAACGGACACAGAGACCGACTAGAGTACCGCGGTACCTTCGGGTTTGGAGACACTGGCTATCGTCAAGATCTGGCTTCCAGCTACGGCCAGCCACAGGCCAGCTCTTGGTATGGAGTCAGGGAGAGGCCTTACAGGGACCAAAGGTAATGGATTATCATCCATAATTACTACCTTCCCTGTGGTCGTAGTGGCTCTTCTACTTTTGATACTGATTTCCATAATAAAACAAACCACTACATAAATAGAGGTGGGCGTTTAAACGAAAAGCTCTTAAAAAAGTCTGCTTTTTAAAATAAGCGCATAAGCACGCTTTTCATTTTGAGCGTAAGCGTTGTTCACTGGTCAGTCTAAGCGCTTAAACGTTTTTTTAAGCGTCAAACTAAAAAGCGTTTAAGTGAAAAGCGCTTTTACAAGCACGCTTTTTAAACGTACGTTTTAACGTTGAAAAAATAAGCAGTTTTTTCCATTTTAACGGTTAACAACTACAAAAGTTAAACAACTTATGTTTTTGAACGCTTTTAAACGCCAATGAACAAAATGTTAATATAATAATGTTATATCATAAATAAAAATATAAATCTTTTTTTTTTAAAAAACCTGTTTAAAACTTTTAGTGGTTATACTCTTGCGTGTTGCTATCAACAGAACGTTGCAAGCTTTTCTTAACATAAAAGTCTATGCGCTTAAACGTTTTCTAAACGATTTTGTTAGCTTCAAACTAAAAAGCGTTTAAAAAAGCACGCTTTTTTTAAAAAAAGCATAACGTTTAAAAACATAAGCAGTTTTTCCCATCTCTATACATAAATGAAAGAGCACGCCATCTCGTGAAAACACGGTGAAACTATATTGCCAGCAAGCTATACCAAACCCAGTAGAAACAGTTGAATGACTGTTCGTCGACTTACTTCTCCACTTTGTCGCTAGATGGCGTTCCATAGCGCTATATTGAAGAAATATATTACTAATTGTGTTTATTTCAGTGGCGTAAGCAACCTGGATAATAGGGACTACAACAGACAACCATCCCACACAGACAGTCGTTACGCATCAAGCAATAGACAACCAAGCACGTATGGGCAATCAAACTACGGGCAAGGCCAGCCTAGTACTTACCAGTCTTCCAGCACGTTTACTAGCAGTAGTACTACACCTCAAACAAGCTACTTATATCAAAGAGCAGACGAACAAGTAACAACAAAAACAGATGAGACGACCAAAACGCCATCTTGATTTCAAACTTTTTAATAATATGTAAGTTTTTATCATGTAAAATATTGCGATAATTTTTATGTGATGCGATAGTTTTTTAAGTGGATGTATTTAAAATGTACAGTCGATGAAAAGCTTGTTCTTTTTGTATTATTCAATTATTGCGAAATGTATATCGTAACAAATATTTTCATGGTTGAAAATAGGATCATATCACTGCCAAAGTCAAAATACTATGTGTCGAGATCCTGAGTTTTTCTCGACTGTACGTTATTTTTAGTACGTAAGGTAATCTTTGATAATATTCTTTTATAAATCGTAAAATGTACTTAATAAATAAGATATAAGCAAATGGCCGAGGTTTTTTGTGTAATTCAGTCGCATAGACTGGCAGTCTTCTAAACTGCAAATTTTAATGCTACCCGTGACTTAAGGCTACTGATGGGTAATTTTCCGGAAAATTTCAAATACTTAGTGGAGATTTTTCCGGAAAAATTCCCGTAAAATTAGAAAAAATTTAAAAAATATAATTTTGAAGGCTCATATACTCTCTGCTCTACGTTCAGAAATATCTATTTTAATAATAAATATTTTACATAATATTTTGAAGTGTTATTTAGCGTGATTTATAAAATAAATTTGTATGGCTAAAGGCCACTTATAGAAAAACGAGTTTTAAAATTATTTCACAAACAGCGAAAAAAACCTATAAAATGGCTCCATCGTTTTCGTTCAGTAATTTCAACTTTTTACAGGTGTCAACGTCAAATGTGGAAAATTAAACGAAAAATATCAGGAAAGCTATTTTTTTTCTGAAAAACATTATTTTTTCAAAATGGATATTTTTCCATGACCCAACAGTACTTATGGCATAATTATCAATAACGAATATCAACAGTGTCGGGGCAGTCTACCAAAGAAGGAGCAGAGGAAAAATTCCTAATCTTAGATTTAATTTTAGAGGGGTATATCCACTTTAAAGTTAAAAATAAAATATTGTATGATTAACTACACGATATATTCCAGCATAGACACTAATCAGAAACATAAAACAATAAAGTTTCCTAGATAGATAAAAATCACGAAATGACCTCTAATTTTCACATTTTTTCGATTCATCCTCGAAATGCTACAGGTTATTAGGACAAAAATTAGATAATTAACTATATTTATGCGTGATCGAGAACTGTCACTACGGATTTTTTTTAATCCCTTTAGTTTTAGAGTTATTCCGCTAAAACGAATTTGGTACTTTTAATGCGCAAAATTCAACATCTCCTGTCGCATGTCACACGAACTTCAGGCATATATTTGTCTCACAAATGTGGGCGGAACCAACGTCAAAACTTTTTTGGCATGCTCCCTCTTAAAGCGTCGCTTGTACCCTTATACAGGTTTATACAATTTGTAAAGTACTAACAACCTCATAGGATAATATTACTAACATCATAAACAACAACTTTTGTTCCATAACTTAATAATTCATCATATTTTACTTTCATACAAAATTTAAATAGATCGCTCTAAACTGTATTAATTGTGTAGAGAACGGGGGTTGGAGTCGTCGGGGAAGACGCTTGCACGTTTGAACTTACCAATTACAGATGTAAAAAGTGTCAGATAGTCCAACAAAAACTTAAAAGTTTATTTTTGGTAAATTTAATATGTTTTGTAAAAAAAGGTCATAAAACAAAAGTTATTGTTTATGGATGTTAGTAATACAGTCCTGCGAGATTGTCAGTAGATTTTTCATCACACTTGCTCGTAAATAGTGTGATTGCATGGTGGCTAACTTGACTATAATGTCCCAAATAAAACCCTCGAGCCTTTTTTCTTCCCATTATAGCCATGGTCGGTAAGGAGTTTTTATTTTATTTCTAGCACGACATACTTCCACAAATAGATCAGGGTTCCAGTTCAAGCAATGAGGTTACTTAAGTTAAAAATGAAAACATTCGCTTAAAATGTTATCTAAAGAAACAAATTTAATCGCAATTCAGCTACATTATTAAGAATTTCTTATGATTGATTTTAATTATTTTCTGTATACCATTTTTGCAAATTTTACATCTTATTTCTAGTTGCATTATCTATGGAGGAATAGCTAGCTGGCCATGTGTTGATAAAAAAAAAAAACAAAAAACCATGGTCATTTGCATAATCCATAATAGCCGTGTTGTGAACCATATTTATTGACACAAGAAATAAATATTATATTTATTTCCTCGCAAATGTGATGAAGAACATTGTATGTGTATCACGGACGGTAAAAAAATACAAAACTCGAGTTTTTAAAGCCGAAAGAAAGAAAGAAGCTGACCTTCAGCTTCGGGCTTCTAGTAGAACCTCGTTAGTAATTTCTTATTTACCGTCCGTCACAATGTATTATAAAAACAACCCTGTATTAATATCCCATTCCATTTTATGTAGCTCTCGTTTTTTTTTGCCGCATAGGTACGCCTTCTAGCCGTTGACTCATATTTTTTAGTGAAGTCATTGTATCATGACGTCATTGATTAACCTAAATGTTTATGACAACTTTCATGACAACTTATTTACTAAAATGAACTAAAACTTAAAATTAACAAATAACCGAAGTAATTTACATCTTCACATATATAGAACAAATTAAACTAGATAGTTTTGGAAAGACAGTGAAAAGGCGCCATCTGGGCATAAATGCCACGGTTGCCCACGACACTGATATTCTGAGAGACGCCACTCATCATCTCAGACAGTTATCTGGCGTTATCGATTAAATAAAAAATAAAAATTTTTTTAAATCAAATTAACACAAGTTGACCCCTTACTCTGGACTAAAGATGTACTCCACTCATAAATGGACGGCGGCGGCGTCTGATGGTTATTCAACCGGAGGGCGGCGGCGGCGTGATCGGCGTTTTTAGTTGTTAAAAAAACTCTATAAAACAATCGCATAAAAATGAAAGCACCTAATATTAAATATATTTAGTTACAATAGAATGTACTACGAAGGAGTTCGATAATTAATTTCAATTGTTTGTTTCTTTTATAACACCAAGTGACGGGACGAACAAGTCGTGCGCCTGGTGGTAAGCGACACGCCTGTCCTTAACAGTTGCAGTGCCACTCAGAGATTTCAATTACAAATATCTAAAGGTCACTGCCTCTGCGCCCGTCACTCAAGCCTTCCAAGCCAAGCGTTACTGCTTGGCGCCAGAAATAGGTAAGGTGGCAGTAGGTACTTCCCTGGATGACCTCTTTCACAAGGAGCTCTACTACAAATGTACGGAAATGAAGTATAGTAAAACAATAATAAAGAAAACAAGAAACCATACATAGATGGCGCTACGACTAAAAAGTCGTTGAAAGACCAAGTACAAAGACACTACGCAAGCACATAGAGAAATTCGTGAGGTCCGTTGGTTCGTTCCGTGGCTTAGTTGGTATAGCGTCTGCGTGCCAGACGCTAGAAGCAAGAAGACGTCGGTTCGAATCCGACCGTATCGAAGGAATTTTTTCTGAGTGTTTTTTCTGAGTGTTCGAGCTTTGTATTAATAATTATAACAAACTAGTGGCGTAATTTCACAAAAAATAATTGAATATCAATTCAATAAAAATTTAATTAATAATAAAGAAGCTTATATTTCGAAATAAAACAAATTTTTGCCGTGGCGAGTTTGCGCCGCCGGTCACGTCCTGGCAACGGTGACCCGGCGGGCAGTGCGGTGCTGCTACGTGTCTACTCCGGAGATAAAAATTAAGTTTTTTTAAGGATATGCATTTAAATATACATACACAGAATCCGGAGATGATCAAGTTTTGTGTAGTCCAGGGAAGTACTGCCGCCAAGCAGTAATGTAAGCAGTGCGTATTACTGCGTTTCCGTTTTGAAAGGTAAGTATGCGGGTGAAATTACAGGCATATTATAGGCTTGTGAATCTCAGTGTGACGGACGCAGTTTGTTATTCAGAGCTTTGTGATTTAATCTAAGTGACACTGCAACTGCTTGTTCGTCCCGTCACATGATAGGTATCATAAAAAAAATACCCGCTCAACACTACGGATAAAAGAAATTATGGCCGAACTCATCAACAGCATCACCACAGCACTAGATAAGATAAACGCGATTTTAATTCGATACAATTCCTTTTAAGGTAAAATTCGTTTATTATCTAGTTACTAGAACGGAAAGTGAATTTTAAATATTTATTGCCATACTCAATCCACTTATTTATGATATAAAAAACACAAAGTTGATACAAAAAATTGTGTCTAATCTTGCCGATGATCTTTAAAAGCGAAGAATGTAAGTTATTATATGGAATCGACAATTAATATATCGATAAGGCGATTAGTCGATATTATATCTGATAATTACTCGATATTCTGTCATTTTGTTCTATTTGGTCGGGAAATCAAGCCAAGTCAAAGGTTTTTTTAAATAAAATATTTTAATTCATATATTTTTTTGGAAAATCTTACTTTAATTAGAGTTTTTAAGTCTGTCTAGTCGAAATTCGCGAGTGAATCAAAAAATTAAGCTGTATTTTCGCAATAACATTTTTTTATAACGAAAATTATTTATTTTATCTTTAATTATTTTAAAGTTTTACCTTATCGTATCTAATTTTCGGCACTTACGATACATAAAAGACCAAAATGACAAAAATTGTTTTTGGTACTATTTAATTATTACTAGAAAAAGCTTACTAACCAAGTTAGTAATACATATACTTATCTAATACGTAAATCTTTACATACCTACACACAGAAATACAGCTTAATTTTATTAGTGCTAGTGTTTTCAGAACTCTAAAACGACCAAATCAAATCGAATATGGCGGATCCAGTGGTCGTAGTTGACTCTTCGCCACCGACTGTCAATGGAGTAAATGTGGTGGACAGTCCATCTAATATTGATGCTGTCAAAGTAGTTGATAGTTCGCCACCGACTGTCAATGTAGTAAATGTGGCGGACAGTCCATCTAATGTTGATGCTGTCAAAGTCGTTGATAGTACGCCACCGACTGTCAATGGAGTAAACGTAGTGGACGGTCCATCTGATGTACATACTGTCAACGTTGTCAATGGCGAGCCACCATCTGTAGCTGTCGTCAATGGTGTGGATGGTGTTAATGTCGTCAATGATGGGCCATCGCCAGTGAATGTCGTCAACGGTATAGACGCTGTCAAAGTCGTTGACAGACCTCTACCCTCTGACAATGTTAAGCCGATAAATCCTGCGTAAGTATTCTTTTGTTTTTATTACAATTTTTTATGCGGCTTTAAAAAGTTTGATTGATAGCATATTTAAAAAAAAAAACTATTTTCTACGCCCTGACGTCATGCGTTAATTAGTTAGGTTTGGAACACACTAGCCTCAAAGACGCTGTTCACTCTCGATTCTATTTAGTGAGTACCTACCTAAACAAGCCTGCGATTAGCAGCTTTAAACTTGACCGAATGAGCTTTACCCCAATTGGCGACGGTTTGAGATTCAAACGATCTAACGTGGTCTCTCGACAAGACCAGGTTTCTTCCTTCATTCATCATCAATGCAGCAGTTTGTGTACGAAAGTATAAGATTATTAATGTGGAGCGAGTTTAGATGGAACGGATCATTGCGGAACTCCAATATCTTAATAATCTGCTCGGCCATCTAAAAGTATTCGTAGCGAAGCATGCTGAAACCTTTCAAAGGCCTTGGAGATAACGAGGGAAATGCCAACAGATGTATTTTTCAATGACCTCACTCCATATAGGCATACACAAATCTCCAGTGAAGTTTGTGTCGGTCGTCGTCTTTCGGTTTCTTCTATGTACGCCAGGAGTGGAGGCGACTTATCGACCTGTTTGTTTGGGAAGTGCCATGAGTTGAGGAATAGGTCCAGTCTGAAGTACGTGGCGCAACGGGTATTTGGTAGTAGTTTATCGTGTCGTTCCATGTGTGAACAACTTCATTTAAATATACGAGTTACGATACTTTAAACTGCACACTATCTGTCGTGACGATGTAATGGGAACGCGCCCTTAGACTGCTTCCTTCGCATTCAAAATTGATAATTCTTAATTTAGAGAAATCTCTTTTGCCATCCAGTCAATTAGTTGTAATTTCAGTGCGATGAAGTACGGATAATATTATTTTCACTCACTAGCACGATGTTTTTTTTTCTCATTAGAAATCAGCGTTTTTTGCGCGCTAGCATGGAAAAGGTTTTTGAAATTGGAACTATGTACAGCATAGTACAATTATCACATACACAAATAAATGCAGAAAGTAAAAAACTCATAAAAAATTGCAACCGTTTCTAAATACCACAAAATACCAAAATCCTTGAGACAAATCGTTGATTAATCGATATCGAACGATTAGATCCACAACAATGTGATACGGCACTTATTTACGTAAGTCCTTTATCGTAAGAGCCTTGGAATACTTGGAAATGTTATTATATTATTGTGTTATAAAAGTAACTATATATTTCTTCATAATTGAGATATAAACATTACACACATGTAATATTATCTTATTCCACGTAATATACCAGCATTCAAATAAAGTACAGTTTTTAATATAACTATGTAATCGTAACAGATTTCTAGGATGTGATTTTGAAAGCCCAATATTAAAACATACCAGAAGTATCCAATGTATCATTGTATTCGAAAGTTCCCGCTCTATCGATTGGTATTATTAAAATTTAGGAATGCCCATGTAAGTCACATGCTATATTTTAAACCACTGGGCATTCCTAAATCATTCGTTTATACCATGAAAGTAGAGGAAATTATAAGAAACTTTGCTCGAGACACAATTAAAATTGAAACAGACAGTAAAAAGTTATAGACAGATTTAAAAAAATTAAATCGTTTTTTGGCTCTCCTGAAAAACCGTGGTTAGTCCCTTACATTAATTGATAGTTCTGGTGTTGTAATTTTCTCGTGAGGTTTTACTTATTTATTAGATTTGACAATTTTGAACTATACTCATGGTTTTAACATGATTTTAGCAAAATTTTATGGTAGATAATGTCATACATGAAAGCCACTATTATTTTGTTTTAATGCTCTGGCTACTAGCATGTTTGCTCTTGTTTCTGTGCAAGTTAGCAACAGACCGTTAATTTGACATTGTCAACGTGGCCTTGTTTATTATTTTTGCCATATCATCAGAGATCGGAGTAGACGAAGCATATTTACCTAAATTTCAACTAAGAATTACACATAAAGTGTATCATGCCTCCATCTGAAATCCTACAATTGTTGTATCACATTTTGTTCTATTTTTAAATTGTAATTAGGGATTACTTTACTACTGTAGTACATTTAGACGCACAATTTTGTAATTGTAAGTAAAAATATGCAACGATTTTCATAGACACCGAAAAGAAAGGTTGAAGGTAACAACGTTCACTGGCCACACGAACGGTAATCGAACTCAAAAAACGATTGAAGTCATTCTTTTTTTGAAATTAAGTGACCTGCGCTTTCTTCACGTGTTGCCATTTTATAATATTACCTCAATGTTACCAACGCGTTTAGGGAAGCCTGACATTAGAAAAGAAAAATTCCTTCGATCTGACTGGACTCGAACCAAGCGCACTGTGGTTCGACTAGAACAAGCTAGCTGCACAAATATTTATTTTTGTTTAGATACATATTTTTATTTTATTTTTTTATAATATCAAATGACGGGTCGAACAAGCCGTGCGCCTGATGATAAGTCACGCGCCTGCCCATAACAGTTGCAATGCCACTCAGAGCTTTAAATCGCAAAGATCTGAGGGGTACCGCCACTGCGCCGGTCACCCTTAGACATAAGTTGACAAGTCCCAAGTACCTGTAATTTCACCAGCACCCTTCAAAATCGGAACATTGCAAGCTGACATCACTGCTTAAGGACAGAATGGGCGTAGTGACAGTGCCTCTCAAATCCTTGTGATTTATAGCTAATGCGTAGCACTGCAACTGTGGACAGCCATGTTCCTTACCACCAGGCGCATGACTTGTTCATCCCGTCACTTAAGATCAATTTATATTGCGGCGGAACGGAATGGAAGCAAGAAGATGTAACAATATTGTACATAGCATAATGAACTTTCAATCGATCATCAATTCATCAAGTCAATTATGTAACGTACAAACTAGATACGGGCCAAAATCTTCCGCGAAATGAGCGAGCAGTTTCGAGCATGTACGACAATTCCTAAGATTTTGGCTATTATGCTATATACAATACTCGTTACAAAAATTCGCTTCCATTCCGTTCCGCCGTAATATAAATTGAACCTTAGTATTATAAAAAAATGTTATGGCATATTAATAATGGTGAAAGTATAATAGACTACAGATACGACCCCATGAAGTTTTATTGGAACTTGTTGCGTCATTATGATTATGAGGATTTGTATAATCACTTAATCAGTTGACAAGCAGATTAGAATTCGCGGAAAAATTACCATCTGTTTAATACTAAATACTAATACCTACTCGGTCAAAATGTAATCCAAGCATAGCGAGCGAAGCTGTCTTGGCAGTCACTGAAATTGAACAATTTTCTAACGCAAATACTCGGCCTTTACTCCACCAATATGCGTGAAATATGAAAGTATAGTCGTCACAATGTAAGAGGCCCAATTTGACAGCTAAGGAAGACTATGTAACTTTAAATGCATTTGACGATAACAAACAATTGTTTGGATTGAATTCAATTGACAAGCGCTCCAAGAGGCTTATATGAGACTCGGAGTTAGTGGAGGCGAAGCTGCAGAGCCTTGAACACCGCCGTAAAGTTGCCTGCTTATCAGTATTTTACAGGATACATCAAGGAGAGTGTGCGATGGAATTACACGATTTAATTCTACCTTCCTCTTATTACATTACACGTAGGGTTGCATGCCATCCCTATGTTGTGGATATTCCAAGATTCCCTGCCTGCAGACTTGTTCCCTGAACGTTATAACTTAGACCTTTTCAAGGCGAGAGTGAATAGGCATTATACATATAGATATGCATGCTCCATCGTCGACCTCATCGTCACTTTCCACCAGGTGAGATGGAGGTTAAATTTTTTATTTTTATACAAATGTAAGTGCTCTTTCAGTTGTATAAGCATTGTAAGATCATTTTATTGCAAGTATTATTTTCGGACGAATTCCATTTTAAAATGCAATTTTGAGTTAGTCCGAAACGTCTATAAAACTGTTACGTCCTCAATCTATTTTTTTTAATAATAGTGTTCTAACCAATCAATCGCCGAATTTCGCCGAGTCAATTCAATTTCCTTAAAAAACACTGGCTTTTTTACTTTCATTTTGACAGAGATGATACCTAACATCAAATATAGCTGATTATTTCGGCTTATCTTCCGATGAAAGTAAATAAAAATTTAAATAAATAAAGTCTTCTTTTTTGTTTTGCTTCAAAATTATGGTATAAATTGCAGGTGTCCTTGTGAACTCTATTAATGTAAGTACATTACAACAACTATAGATTGTCATTGTAATCATTTAAAATACTTCCTTAATATTTATACTACTTAATATTCACGCCAAATAATACTTCAAACGATATTTCGAAACGTGGAACATAATATTAATGAGTCTATTTAATTTTTCCAATTTTTCCAATATTTTGGGACTTTTCCGGAAAAATTTCCACTAATTGAAATTTTTCGGAAAGTACCCAACAGTACGTAAGACACACGTTTTACGCTGTGCCTCACACACACGCGCGCGCGCGCGCGCGCGATTTAAGCAGCAGTGCAGTCGCGATGCACTTTTTTATTGATTCAAAATAAACGACAGCATCGTTGCAGTCGCAAGTTTGCATCGCGCGCGTCGAGTATATAACCAGAAATAGAGACGAAATGTCATTTAATTTGTTTGAAAACTATTTTGCCATATCATTACGGTCACAACTGCGCTCCGATTGGCCAGCCCGGATTCGAAACAAATGACGGGTATCGTCAATTGTTTCACATCAAACCGACCAGTTAACTTGAGCTTTACTATAATTGACGAAAATTTAAAAATTACTTATTTAATTACCGATGAAATGTGATTCCGTTTGTTTTGTAATTAGATGGAACAGCTCCCCATAGTCAGAGATATTATCTTTATAAATACAGAATATTTTTGGCATATACGGAGACCTACACACAGGTCAGTTGTTGCGCTGCCGCGCTGTACTATTTCACCTTTCAAATTTTTTATTTCAGTGCAAACGAAAGTAGATATTTAAAA